TAGGAAAATGAGCAAAAAACAGTAAAATAAGTCTTAAGTCAGTTTTCCCAGCATTATTTTTGAAACATATTTTCTCATTCCCAAATGAGCTGTGAAACTTTGTTCCTTCAGTTGCTTCGTATAGTAAGGCTGACAACTGCTGCTGTTTCCAAGTGCTTGCTTATTTAAAGAGAAGACTGCACGTCCACAGAAAAGATTAAGCATTTACAGAAAGAATTTAAGGTTGAATATGATGACTTAAAATGCTACATTACTTGAGAAAATAGAAGCCAGAGAGAACAGAAAAACAGAACTGTGGACATATGATACCTAGAATGATGGTAACAGTAGGTATACGCTGGCTGAAGATAAGCCCTAATTTTGGTTCTAAATTTCCTGGCCACAAGGTAACAGAGAAACAGCTACACAATTTACATCTCCTCCTGCTCCCGGAAAATAAAAAAGAAACAGGATAATTGTTTAGGAATAGGACCACACTTGGACCTAAAGACAGAAAAAAATGTCACCCTCCTGTGGTTGATACCAAAACACGTCTTGTAATACACAAAACACAAAGCATGTAGGTATTAGAGAAGTGACCACTAGTCTGTCAGGTTTAAACCTAGATAGATTTCTCTGGAAGAGAATCCTTTCTGCCCATTGGACTATTAAGCTTCTTTTATTTTCCTTCATTTTCTTTTCTTCTGTCTGTCTTTTCCTTTTTGTTCCTTTTCTTTCTTTTTCCTTTCTTTTCTTCCCCATCTTTCTTTCTTTCTCTTTTTTTCCCCTCTCTTCTCTTTTTTTCTCTTTTATTTTTACATTGGGATAGACGATCATGTATCTTCCCCCCAAATTTTAGATTTTCTCTAATTAGTCTGTAGATTTTCTTCAAATTTCCTATCTTTGGGAGTTTTAACATAGATACTATATCATCATAGAAAAAGAAAATTGAATGCATTCTTTCTTTAATTTTCAATGCCCCGAAACTGTTTAATGTTAGAGACAATCATTCCTTGAAGATTCAGTAGAATGGACCTCGCACCCTCCGGTGAGAGAGGAAAGAAGTGGGGGTAATGATTGTTCGCCTTTGACAACTTCCTTATTTCCTGCAGATGTTTGTGCTTATTTAAATTTCTTTCGTGGACTCTTAGTAATTTATGTTAATCTTAAGGAATCACCCATTTTTCAACTTCAATTGCTTATGTATTTTTCAATAACCTTGCACCCACTTACTTTCCCATTTTACTGGCTTATTTGATATCTTTACACTTTATCCCCCTTTTCTTGTTTTCACCAGCTATTGATTTCTCTATTGTATCAAATAATCATTTGTTTTATAATTTAATCTTTGAATTTTTCTTTTTAATGCATTCCTCTTAAACTTAATCTATATTCTTTCTCTAACTTTCTGGGCTTGATGTTTAATTCATTTTTTATTTACTTTCATGTATCAAAATAACTTTTTTATGGTTTGCATTTAACTCAGAACAACTTTCTTCTTAGGCTGTAGGGCAAGGGGTATGTGATGCTTTCACTTCTTTACTCTAAATGTTTTGCGACTTCCATTTTGGTCTCTCCGACTTTAAAGAGAGGAATTTAAACATTTTTAGAGCTTAGGTCTTTGTGAGATTTTTTGGGATAGATTTATCACTTCACTATAGATCAGAATATATTCACTTAGTATTGTTCCTCTGTACTTTGTAAGTCTGATAATTATGGTTGTTTTTTACAGCCTGACACATGCTAAACTCACATGATAAATAGAACATAGAAATTTGTAGGTTTAGTTTCAGGATATGAATTTTAATCATGTCAATCAACTCTCTCTTATTAGTCAAACTACTTTAATTTTCTGCATGCCTATTATTATTATCCTGTCTATTTAGTGTGTATGTGCAATGATGCACTACATGAACTAAATTTTTCTACTACCAATGTATTTTATATGCTTCTTGCTTCCTTTGTGTATTTTTTATGTATAAATGATCCTAGAATTATATCTTTGATACACTGATTTTCAGGATGTCAAATTTTGGTTGCAGTTGTTAACATTTCTTCCCAGAGGTTATGTGTTGATTCACAGTGTCACCAAAAAAGGACACTCAAGTCCTAACCCCCAGTATTCCAGCACATGGCCTTCTTTGGACTAGAGTATTTGCAGGTGTATTTAAGTTAAGGTCAGATCATACAGGTGAACCCTAACCTAATATGACTGGTGACTTTGTAAGAGTTTGGACACAGAGACAGACATGTACACAGGGAGAATGCCATGTGAGCAGGAAGGCAGAGATCAGGGAGATGTGTCTACAAGCCAAATAATGCAGGAGATTACCATCAAGCCCTCAGAAGCTAGGACATAGGCATGGAGAAAATTCTCCTCCAGCCTAAGAAGCACTCAACCCGCCAACACCTTGACTTTGGATTTCCAGCCCACAGAACTGTGAGCCAAAACATTTTTTGTTGTTTATGCTACTCTGTTTGTGGTACTTTGTCACAGCAGTCCTGAGAAACAAATACAGGTTACTTGGCTCCATTTAATTCTTTTTCTGCCCTGATTTGAACTTATGTGATATTAGAAGTGTACTCCCAATGTCTATCATCACTTTCTGGCATGTCTTTGACAATTCCTTTATTTTTTGACCATTAGTGCCTTTTGGAGTTTACAGCATAGTTGGACCATGTCAGTTTCTGCTTTGAGACGCTCCACAATTTCCCCATGCACAAGGAGAACATGACTCTGAACAGCCTAGCTCCTACCTGTGAAGCAGACACTGATGGCACCATTTCCCTGTCTCCTCTCAGATGTCAGGCTCCCTGGCTTGCGGTCTCTGGCACAGCAGCCTCACTTTGCTACTGCAGTAACCTGGGCTCTTTACCTCCTCAAGTCTGGCCTTTCCACCTGGAACCCTTCTCTCTCCACTTTTCAATTCCTACGTTCTTCCATTCTTCATGACTCAGCTCAGCCTTATCTTTTCAGAGACTTCTACTCTGATCACAATGTGTAGTATGATCTAACTCCATAATCACCAGCACTCACAAACACTTCACTCGTGTTTCCTTCGCAGCATCAACTACCATCTGTAAGTTCTTATTTATTTATGTATGTATTTATCATATCCCTCCACTAGAATTTAGGTTCATAAATGCAAGACTTTTGCCGGTATTTTTCACCAAGTCAACAGCTTCTGCTTAGCAGGTGGTTGGCAAACAACACATGTTTATTGAACGAAATAAGAATTGGAAAAGAAAGATAGAAGAAAACCTGTAAGCCTATAAACCTTCTCTTTTCACTTTTTCAAAAATGCTTCCTTAAGGTCCCTGAAAGTCTCATGTATGCCTTTCAATGCTGGTGTATTTACTCTAATCTAACTTCTACTCCATGTGTCCTGGTGTTTCAACCAGATAAACATCAGCTCTTACAGGTGAAAAGAACTCTTAATTCATCATGAAACAAGTGATTTTTTTTTTTGGAATGATACAATAAAAATTCCCTCCTCATCTGCTCCTCATGCATGGAGCTCACCTGGAGGGTGTTCTGAGCTCCCTTCTGCCCCACTCTAATGACCTCTGCTATCTCATGCCCAATATCATCCTCATGCAGCCAAACGTGATTTGAATATTTGAAGAGATCCTAACCAAGAAATTCCTGATATAAAAGAGAATCATAAACTCATTCTGGAATAGGTCATACCTATATGGATTTCAGGACAAGCGACCAAAGTTCTAGAAGATAGAAAAAGGAGAGATGTCTCCCCAGATGATTCAACAATCTCTGCAGTTTTTATAAAAGCTGTTTCACTTAGATCCATACAAGACAGAATAAACATTTGGTGATCTTTGAATGAAATGACAGTAACCAAAGAGCCATTTTCTCCTAATTGCACAGCAGAGGGCAATCTCTTGCTCACGTGAATGAACCTGCTTCTTCCCTGCTGCCATCTGGGTTGGCACACTCCAAGTTACAGATTAATTTCTTTTCTAAGAATTATGTTATTTAGCTTTACTTGTTTATTTAAATTTGAACAGAGAGGAACAGAGTGTGTGTGTGGGGGGGGTGCGTGGTGGGGGAGGTGGGAAAGCACACTGCCACCAGATCTGGAGCTCGAACTGCAGTCAGACATATGGGAACCCAGTGCTCTTAAGCACCACACTACCTGCCAGCCTCAGAGTTTCTTCTTTTTACATGTTTTAGATCAAACTATGCAAACTGACATGATGATCCATGCAACCTTCACTTATAGAACATCCGTTATTCCGGACAGGGGGACCCACGCCTTTCCATGACAATAATCCATCCTGTCAAGGAGCTCCCAGAACTCTGGACAGGACAGCATGGGTACAGATCATTTTAATAACAGTGCACAGGGCAGAGCACAGGAGCTAGAGGGGGTGAACTGAGTTTCGTTTGGGATTTGGGGCATGCATATACACATACGCAGCCTGTTTCTCAAGCTGTGAGATCTGAGACTCAAGCCATGCTGCTGGCCATAGAGGATCCACCAGGCCACGGGTCGGCCCTCAGTTTTCATGTGGTTGAGTTACCAAGATTAGAACCGGAATTAAAGTAATAAATACCATAGAAGAGTAACAATGTCTAATTTATAAATTGAAGAAAGGAGGTTTACTAAAAATGAAAGAAGTAAGAAGTAAAAGTACCTTTTAGGACAAATTTGTTCACTAAATTTTTACTTTTTTTTTTTCTAGATATTTATGGATGACATCTATCTACATACAAGAAAAAAAAATACACATAACCTTTGCCCTAATAAAGCTTTCTCTATAGCAGAGAGGCAGACAATAAGTAAAATAAAACATAACATCAAATTATTATATTCACTCCAGAAAAAAAAAATAAAGCACACGTGGACAGAGAGCAGAAGACAGAGGAAGGTGAGGGAGGAGGTGGAGATATTTTAGATAAAACATTGGGGAACACCAGCTGCTTAACTGGGCGGTTAACTGACTATAGTTGCACGCATGTCTGAAGTTCCTTAGCAAGCTAACAGGGAAAACATACTCACCAACACTTGACCCACGAAAGTCTGTGCTGAAAGCAACATTTCTATGCGGTTTCGAAATAACCCATGGAAGTGGAGGCTTTCTAAAGGGTTGTTGCGGATGGTCCCTGATGAGATCAGTTCCTATACACAAGAGAAAGGGATTGATGGAGTGAGCTGACTTCAGAGAAGGTCATCTGCTTTGTTTCTGCTCATGGCACTTCTAGTCGTGTTAGCCAGAAATCACGCTGCCCATTCCCAACCAGGAACCCTGCAGTTGCTCATCCAGTCGTTCCTAGAAAGGGTGTCACTTGGTTTGCATTTTACTGGTTTTTAACACTGTGTTTCCCTCTTGGATTCGGTGTTCTCCTTCCATGCCTTTCTCACGTACACTTAGAAACCAGACTTTTCAAAACAACACCCTTGTGTTGACTGAGACTGAGAGTGGTATGTTTCTTTCTGCTCTGGGGATAAGGATTTGAACATTTTCCATCAAGATACATAGGGGAAAACAAGATTACCAGTTGAGTTTTAGGAGATTACTTAAGAATCCACTGTTTAAGGGAGAAGGAGGAAGGAAGATCTGGTCACGTTATGTTACTTTAAATTCTTTGTGTCGTATTCTCCTGAAATTATAATTCTTCCTCACATTTCTGGAATGCCTTTAATTACTATATTTGAACTTTACAGTAAGTAATTGTATGCAGTTAAGCAGGTATGATGAAATTAGTTTTATGTTGCTATGGGGACTAGTGTATAGAGATATTAAATGACTTGCCCAAGATCAGACCATGAGGAGGGACTCGGACCTGAGCTGGCATTCATGACCAGGGTTACAGGCCACGGCTACCTCTAAGAAGGCTACTGACTGACTAGCTTTGGCCACAACAAAAGCGTCCCTTGATTTCTAGAAAAACTCGTTTTATGTGGAGACAGGGTTTTATGATCACTGAATTTTTCTCTTTGAATTTTCTGAGTTGTAGGAAGGAAAATCTCCTTAAAAGACTCTCTAGTCAAGTCCACCTCCTAATCGGGGATGTGTCTCTTGCTTTGTGCAACTTATCACATGTGTTCCTGAGATGTTGTCTAAGAATTGCTTTCCTAAAAAGTATTCAATATATTAATATAGAACACTCATTTGAATTTCATTATAAAATTGGAGGTGCTTTCTGTGGGAAGACAGAGTGACCCTAAGACACAATTAAGTAATCATATGAATGGCTAGTCAATTCTTAAAAATTCGTACTTAAGGCGAAATTATAACTCCAAATAATTCTAACTTTTTTAGTTTGTTATTTTTAATATTTTTACATTCAATTATGTATCATTATAGCATACCAAATGAATTTTCCCATCATAAAATAACTTTTTAAAGTACCTAGATTTGTCACATATTTGCAAATGGGCAACTTTCCCAAAGCTTAGAGAGAAAAGTGCCACTCTCAATTTAATCAAATATAACAACTTATTGAAAAATCACTTAACTTTTATCAAAGTTTATACTCCAGATGGCCCCCCAAAGAGTATAGTATTCTAGTTGCTCAGATCTACTTTGCAACATTTTGTAACATTTGCTTAGTATTTGCAATTAAAAGGCTATCTGGACTGAAGTAGAGACATGAATTTCACTCACAGTAAAAAATAAAAAAAATACAGTAAATATGAGTTGACAAAGTTCTCTCAAATATTTGTATTCACTTAAAAATGAATAGAGTTGAGAGGAAGAAATATTCCTGAAGCAGGAGAATAGGAATTTAAACACTACAAACTAAGTTATGAATTAAGTTGTAAATTGTGTTAATACATAACAAATAATTTATGTATTAAAAGAATGGGGGGACTAATGCACCTTGTCCATTGACCCATTTAGTCAGTATTTAGAACTCTTTCTCCATTTTTCATGCCTAAAGTCTTTAATGTAGAAATTATTAATAGACTGAACTCATTAGCATCAAAATCTATGAGCTTCATACTAGATACTATTCAAATATAGAAACCTGAATTCCATATAGCCATTAACCTTAAAAATTTACTGAGTTATTATAAATTATGTTGTTTTATGTCAATTTTTAGCATTAAGATAAATGTCTGAGGCAAATTTTCAATATTAATTGTGATGTACAGGTAAAATGTATTCTGTTATGGTAATTACTATAATTTATCACAGGAAGAAACAAGATTTGGGAAACAAACTACACAGGCCATAATATTATACAATTCTTTGTCTTTGACCTCCGGTGATAGAACAGCCACTATGGAGCACACGAGGGCTTTATTTCAAGCTCTTATATAATACTTTATCTGGGTAGATGTCCCTCATTCTTGCCATCATTATTCATTGGCTGTTACTCAACAAACTCAACTCTTGCAAATTTTATTGAGCCTAACATGTGTCTCCCCTGGTGTCTCTGAGACTTGCATGTGTACATGGATCTCTGTGTGGATGTGTTGCGGGGTGTGTGGTGCTGACATGGTGTATGGAAGGCAGGGCATGCATGTGAGCACACACACAGCATGTGTGCATGGTAGGAAAGTCGAGTCGATGTTGATGTCTTGTTCCTGTTTATCTCTTTTGGAATACTTAACTGTCCTCTTAAAATTCCAAATAGAGTGGTAGACAGAGTGTCTAGGGGTGTCTGTCAGAGAGTGACCTCAGTTTCCCAAGCTAACACTCATCACCATCTGTACAAGCTTGGAAAGAGGACACCTGGCCCCGTAGTTGCCATGTGGGAAGGGCCGCTCAGGCCTCTGTGCATCACCCTCTCCAAGGCACCAGACCAGACCTGGCTCTGCCATTCTGGAGGAGGGAGTGAAGCCTAAACCATTGGCTAAACTCAGACTTGTGTCTCACTTGTCTCTGCTCTTTCCACAGAGGGATTCCCAGTAAAGAAACTGACCAAGAAAATTCCTGTGCCCTTGATGTTTCTCCATCTCTTTAAGGCTCTCCACATCAATCTGCAAATAAATAAGATGATGAGCCCCAGGAAGAAGGTCACAAAGGAGGAGAGGATGAAGGCGGCCTGGACCTCAGCAGTGCAGGACATCTTCCACAACTCGTCCCTCGATTTGCCTTGTGGCTTACTTGGCATCGTTGTGAGACGGTATCCTTGGGAGAGTCTATGAGGTCATCATCACATGCCACATTCTGGGAAGTAGAATCCACTGTGTTCCAGCGTCCCAGAACCCTGTGTGGTACCAATGAGGTGGCCCCAGGCAGCACCATTCTGATTTTTAAACCCCAGACAAAATTGAAGGTATATAGGATGAATAATTCGAGAGACCACATGTGGAACATGAGGGCCATACTTAATAATATTGTATTTGTGTTTTTTTTTTGCCAAAAATATTATTCTAGGTGCTCTTGCCACAAAATAAAAGAGTAACTATGTGAAATGGTGGATATACTGACTTTCTTGACTTCAGTAACAACTTTGCTATGTACGAGAATGTCAAAACCTGTTGCACCCTTTAAATATATATAATTTGAAGGCGAGATTATTTTGAAATTTTGGGTGGTTGGACAAGTTATGACATGTTTTTCTATGCAAAAATGTGTCATAAGGGGCCAGCAGGTGATGTGGTAGTTATGGGTGCTGAACTCCCACATGGGCTGTCACAGTTCAAGTCCTGGACCTGGTGATTTGCTTTCTCACTTTCTGTCTCTCTCACTCTGTCCCTCTCTGGTCAAATTAAAATAAATAAATAAATACATAAATAAATAAATAAAGTTAAATAATTTTTTTTATAAATGTGCATCATGACTTCTCCAATGACCCAATAGAGGAAATATTTTGCTTATCCTTTAAATAAGAAAGACACCGTGTAAAAAACAGCTTCTGCAGAAGGCGATGTTATATGAGACACGGACTGATTGTGAACTGAGCTCTTAAGTCAGTTTCCCTTTTCTTCCTTCATGGACCCCCTGGCTCTGCCTCCCTTGCTTTCTTTGACCCCTCTCAGCAAACTCTGTGGTCCAGCAGAAGTGAAGTTCAGAATGAGTGATTTCTTGCTTTTTCTCCGATGTTTTCAGAGTTGTGTAAAATGTCACGCCTTGCAGTGTGCGCTCCTGCCAGCCTGGACGGCAGAGTGTGATGGAGGGCTGAGGTCATCGCAGTTAGTGAGGAGATGGCCTGACTCGCGGTGATGAGACCAGGCCGAGTTGTCTGTCCTGGGGGGCCCAGCACAGCTGTGCTCTGTGCGACAACGGTCTCTGGACGAAAACTAGAATTGCTGCCGTACTTTTTCTTCCTTCTTTTAAGCTTACCTATCATTTCCACAAAGTCTCGGCACTGAGGTGACTAATAGCGTGGGGTGGTGGTGTGAATCAGTCTGCTTCAGGAGTCGGGAGTCTTGTGTTCCAGCTGCCCCGTCTTTTTATGAAGTTACTGTGTCATGTCGAACAACCACATTCATTTCCATAGTCTCCTTTTCTGTAGAAGACAGTGCAGACTTGACACTGAAGATTTTGTCGTTGTGCAGATAAACTTTTGAACATGCCAGTAATTTAATTAGAATGACTGCTTCACTTTGTACACATTTCTGCAATTTACCTCTGGGCACTCAAATATTATGAAAAATTATACTTCATAAGATTGGATAATGTTTAATTTTTAAAAATGTACTGTCTTTAAGAAATATACTGAGAAAGAAGGGTAAGAATTTCATGATTGTAAGCCTATCCAGCAGCACGCTTGAAGGTGTGCATGAGTGTGTCTGCTCACAAGTGCGCCTTCACGTGTGTGTGTTTGCAATATTGCTAGAAGTCACTGCTTATATTAATGATAATGTTGCCATTTAAAGATCTAATTCATCCATCGCACTTAATACTGTAACCCTTCTATTTCTACAGGCAGATGTTGATTTCATATTATCGAAGACGTCCGGCTATTGGACAGATACGCTGTTGAGAAATACCAGGCCTCCATCCCTGCAGCTGTGAACGGCAGCAGGGGCTCGGAAGTCAAGAGTGAAGATTGCTGTACTTCCACAGAGCCTGGGTGCCATGGCGACAGCACACCAGAAACAGCTGTTTCTGAATAAACAGCTGCTGATTTGATGTATCTACTACTTCAGAAATGTGACCGAAAGATCAGAGCCTCAGTTTTTAGGGTGTGTAAGTGGAGCCATTTCAGTCAGAAGGTCTCCTGCTCATACCACCTTAGGGTTTTGCTTTGGTTTAATCCTTTAAGGGGTTAAAGTAAGGGAGATGATACACCAACTACTTGTAGAGAAAGCTTCCTTTTCGGAGAATGTGAGGTAATACCTGCTCTGTGTAGAGCATAACCTACTGCAACTCGACCTTTACAAAAGACATTTAGGCTAGAGGGTGGCCAATGGTCAGGTGCAGTGCTCCACCAGGCTGACACGCGTGGGAGGTCTGGGTGAGGTCTGGAACCCTCCCCGAGAGTGCTGGACACTTGTGTGCCCATACTCAGAGCCGGCCGAAGCAGGGGATAGGCTGCGGCATCCAGGACCTGTGGGCGCCAGCACGGGAGAGTGTATGGCCAAATCCCAAGAGGAGAATGGCGGAGAAAGGACTGCAGCGTGGCCATTCGTCCTCGGGGTGCTGTCTCACGTTTTCTCTTGCTCTCTCTTTGTGTCTCTGGCAAACATACGTGCCCTGTGTCAAATTAAAAAAAAAAATAAGAGAGCGAGAAAATCTGTTGCGGGGTGCATATCTCTCACTTTCTAATTAATTTAAGAAATTAATAAACCAGGGGCCAGCAGATGATGCGGTGGTTAAGGTGCTGGACTTCCACGTGGCTGACCATAGTTTGAGCGAGCCCTGTCAAGCCTGGCGGGTGTCTGTTTTTAGAAACTAACAACTCTGGAGAGGTTGATATTATAAATAATAAATTAATAGTTGCATTTAAAATCCATACAGAAACTTCACAGTTTTCTGGTTTTTTTTTTTTTGTCAAATTATTGGCATACTTCTGAAGTATATACCTTTGGACACATTTCTTACACTAATGAATGTCATTTTCTCATCAGTAAAATGAGGAAGCTGGACTGGTCTTTGAGGGACTTCCCAGCAACAACCTACTATGATTTTTTTATACTATAGTCCTGGATTATTTCTCTAATAGAGTATAAATGTTTTACCATATTCCAGCATCTGACCTCATTTCCCAGATGGGTTCTTTACAAAGTGAAAGAAAAGGAAGAAACACTGAGTAGTATTCCATAGAGTATATATGCCACATTTTTTTCAATTCACTTGCCTGGTTTTGGACATTTGGGTTGATTCTATGTCCAAGCAATTGTAAATAGTGCTGCAATAAACATGAATGTGCAAGTGTTTTTCCAATTGAGGGTTTTTCTATCCTTTCAGTATATATCTAAGTGGAATTACTAGGTCATATGGTAGTTCTACTTGTAGGTTTCTAAAGAATCTCCATATCATTTTCCACAGTGGTTACACCAATTTGCATTCCCACCAATGGTGTAGTAGAGTTTCCTTTTTCACCAGCACTTCTCACTATTTATTTTTTTTTAACTTTAGCTTTTTTTTTTTTTTTTAAGAGAGATTTTTGCTACAGGGCACATGTGCTCACCATAGAGACAGAGAGACAGAAAGCGGGAAATCACCCCCTGGGGAGGAGGAGTGACTATGGTGCAATTGCTTCTTCATTCTCTTCTGGGGATTTTGGGCATGCATGCACATACTCCCAGTGTGACTTTAAGCCTCCAGGTTCAGGACTTGAACTGCAGTGAACTACATGGGAGTCCACTGATGTGATCATTATGCCATCTGCTGGTCCCTAATTTTTGCCATTCTGACTGGGGTTAAGTAGTATCTCATGATCTTTGTCTTGATAATGCATTATATTTGTGCTGGAAAAAGCAATATTGTAAAGATATATAGTGATCAAATATAAATTTTAAAATATAAATACATTTAAAATTAAAAAAAGAGAGAAGACACACAAATTTGTGACTGGCTTTTTACTGAAAGGGAATCTGGTTTAATAAATGAACTTGGAATCCAGTTTGATTTCCTTCTTATCTTGTGCAATGACTTGTCTTTGTAGAGGGAACATGGTTACCATGGCCACTGTCTCTGACTCCATCTCTCAGTCCAGCACCTCTTCCCTTCTGACATCTGATTAGGAATGTGCTAGCTAGGCTGCCAGTCTGTCTCTTCCCCTCTCTCCCAGGCTCCTGTTCCCTTTCCTCACTAATGTGTTTTCTGCAGTACTGCAGTCATGTCTCATGCTGAGTATTTGCAGACTGCTTACGTGTGTCCACAGTACATCGTACCTGTAGGGAGGTCGCACAGGTGAACTGCTGTGTCAAAGGGAAGAAGCTTTTCAATCTCTTTAATTTCTTGATTTGAAATTCCTGCTCATTGTGTGACACGTGTGGAGGCTGTTCCTCATAGTTTGTGATGTGAATGCCGCAGGAAAACTTAGGGACCCAGTCTCTCCACTCAGCCAGTAGATGGAAGCATTTCATAGGGAATTATCCAGCAGTGAAGTAGTGAAGTGTTTTGTTTTGTTCTTTTGTTTTTGTTTTTGCTTTTTTTTTATTCTTTCCTTTTAGGTTTTGTTTATTTTATTTTTATTTATTTATTTATTTTTATCTTTTTAAGAAGATGAAGAAAGGTGCCTGAAAAGTGAAAAGGGGACGTTAAAGGATGTGAAAGACAGAGTGGCGACGCCCAGCCTTGGGGAACACAGGGCTCCCAGATGCTCAGCCTCACTCCAAACCCGTGTTCTGTTCAAACTCTGTCTTCTGTAATTCTTTCCCTTTGGAAGAATAGAAGGGTAGATTAAACTGTTGATAACTCTGAAGTTTTTCTTCCTCTAAAAAAAAAAAAAAAGGAAAATATAATTTCTCTGGATCCTTGAGAGTCTTAAAAACCTTTTCATGAGAATGAATAATGCAATCAGCCTCTCCAGCAATCAGGCCAGCTGAACGTCAAGCTGGTGATTTTATCAGAATGCTTAATGCCCACCAGCCTAAGGGAGGGAGAGGAGGGCAGAGGCGCCGGGCTGGCAGGTCCAGGCAGTGACCCTGCCGTGGTTTCCATGCGGTGGTGATCAGGACCCCTTTGCCCATTTCCCCACTACTCCTGCTGGTCAC